AACAGGGCTCAGCCCAGAAAAGCAATGGTTTAGTATCTGGAAGTTTGTACAGATAACTCAGCACATTAACAGAAAAGAGACGCTCTCAGGAGAGGGGTGTGCTAAGTCCTTCCAGTCCAGCCAGCGAGGAGGCTGAGGTCAGAATGCTGGCTGAACTAGGAGCAGGAACACGCAGGGACAATGGGGCGACTGACTTTACAACAGGAAGGAGAAGCTGGAGTGACAGCCCAGACCTCCAGCCCAGCACTCAGAGGCTGAAAGACACGACTACTCTTCACATCAGCCTGAGGGACTTGGTGAGATCTGCTGCAAAGCCACCAGGGGAAAAAAACAAAACAAAAGAAGTTAAAATTCTTTGGTTTCTTTTTCCATGTTACCCATTGCAATCACGCAAGAATAAAGGGAAGTTTACAGTCTGAGAAAGACAAAGTGATGTTGTCTCTGTAGACAAAATGATCATTATTAAAAGAAAAAATTAAAGGACATAAAAAAAAAAGTTCATGCCGGGTGGTGGTGGCGCACGCCTTTAATCTCAGCACTCGGGAGGCAGAGGCAGGCGGATCTCTGTGAGTTCGAGACCAGCCTGGTCTACAAGAGCTAGTTCCAGGACAGGCTCCAAAACCCCAGAGAAACCCTGTCTCGAAAAACCAAAAAAAAAAAAAAAAAAAGTTTACTAGGCCAGGACAGGCACCAAAGCTACAGAGAAACCCTGTCTCAAAAAAAACAAACAAACAAAAAAAAAGTTTACTAGGGCAAAAATTTAGCTAAATAATAAATGGGATATAAAGTCAGTATGTGAAAATTAATTACAATCTTAATTGTCAATAACAGAGCTACAAATAGTGATTTAAAATACCACCTATGATAGTACCAGAAATATAAATAAATTCAACAAAATGTTCAGGATATGTATAAAAAGTAAGGAAATAATGCTTGAAAATTCAAAAAGTCATAAATCCCATGTGTTCTAAAAGATTCATCATTATAAAGGCATAAATTACCTCAAGACTGATGTGAGTTCAATAGACACATGGAAAAGATTCACACTGTAAGTTTTATGAAATAGGAAGATCCCAACTAAAGCTAAGAAGCCATTTTTCGCTGGGCACTTGGGGAGGCAGAGACAGGTGGGTCTCTGTGAGTTCAAGGCCAGCCTGGTGTACAGAGTTCTAAGAGACAGAGACAGGGCTACACAGAGAAATCCAGTCTCAAAAGAAAAAACAAAAACAGAGCCATTTCCCCCAGGACCCACAGGGTGGAAGGAGGGGCCTCCGCTGAGTCGTTTCTACCAGCAGGTTCCAAGCGCTCTGGCAGATGCACACCAGTCTTCCCGTCCCGGTACCCAGAGCAAGAAGGACACGCCTAGACTCATCTTACCGAGCCCACGGGTCCCTCAGCCCCCGGGAAGCCAGCTTCTTCTGCACTGTCTCTAGCGGTGTCCCTTCTGTTTTCCACTGTGTGTGATCTGGAAGGACCAGTTTATCGTGACCATGCCCATGCCCGTGCCCGTGCTCGTGTCCATGCCCAGCAGCCATGTCTACGGGAAAAAGGAAAAGAAGGGAGAGAGAGAGCCAAAGTTGATGAGGATGTGTCAAGTGAAATGCTTTTAAAAAGATAAATACCTGACAATTCTGAGTAGAGAGCTTTTATAAAAATATACTAGGATTACTTGGGAGGAAGTGGCAAGTGGTGTACTGTATTTCCAGGCCAGAAAATCAACCAAAAAAAGTGTACTATTACGTACTTAGTGTATGCTCACAGCTAGGAAATACATACACAATATATGGAACTGAAAACAGTGAGTAGCCCTACCACTCAGATACCCACTCACTACATATGCTAACAGTAACACTTCCGTAGTCTTCACGTGCCCGGCACATGGGACTTTATAGGCAGTAACTGTACTGCTTCTAAAACAACTTTGAATTTAAATTAAAAATACAGATTTCTCCCCCTGCCTTCCCAGACCTGGTGACTCACAAATTTAATCCCAGCACTTGGGAGGCAGAGGCAAGCAGATCTCTGAGTTCTTCCAGGCCAGCCTGGTCTATAGTGAATTTCAGGACCGTCAGGGCTTTGTGTAGAGAGACTCTGTCTCACAAAAACAAACAAACAAACCCAACCAAAACAAAATAAAAATAACCAAACACTTTTTATAGATGAAGACAATGAGACTCTAAGCAGTAAGTCAATGCTATAACTAGTCTCTCTCTCTCTCTCTCTCTGTCATCCATTTTTCAAGATGTGATTTCTCTGGAGAGCTCTGGCTTTTGTCCTGAAGCCAGGCTGGCCTTGAAGTTCCAGCGACCTACCTGCCTGCTCTGCCTCTGGAGTGTTGGGGTTACTGTTATTTCAAAATAGCCATAAATTAAACAAGAAAATCTCAAATGTTCGAAGGAAGAGTTTAAAACCATCTTTTTTTGAATCACTAATAGCTATAAAATGCAAGAAAATCCCTGAAGCTTTCTGGACTTCTATTGCCTCACATAACAAGGATAAAAATCTACCTTCCAAGATTGGGAAATGCGGAGAACACACTGTAGTGTGCCTTCCATTTTCACATCCAAGTGGTGAGACTATGACTGAGCACTACTGTTCTGGAAAAACTGTCATGACCCAGAAAATTGGGACATTTGCTGGGTGTGCGGGCACCCGCCATCAATCCTTGCACTCGGGAGGCAGAGGCAGGTGAATTTCTTGAGTTCCAGGCCAGCCTGGAAAATCAAAACGTAAACAAACAACAAAAAGAACATTTGGATACCTATGGCCACCAATTCCTCTCCTGGATCTGTGCTGTCTTGTTAGGTAGCCACTAACCTCTGGAATGTGGTTATGCAGCTAAGAAACCTGGAATTTTAACTTTTTAAAAAGACCTTATTTGTGTGGTGTGTGTGTGTGTGTGTGTGTGTGAGAGAGAGAGAGAGAGAGAGAGAGAGAGAGAGAGAGAGAGAGAGAGAGACATGCATGCATGGGAGGGAGGCCAGAGAAGGTATTGCATCCCCTAAATCTGAATAATAGGTGGTCATGAGCTGTCTGGTGTGGGTACTAGGAACTAAACTCAGGTCCCCTGGGAGAGGACCAAGTACCAAAGCAAATTCAATTATAAGAAAATACTAAAGTGTCTTTGGAATTATCTGGTGTATGAATATACTTTTCAACCTTATAAAATACAAGCACAGACCAAGTATATACATTTATGTAAATAATATGGATATACTGTATACATAACGTACAAAAAATTTTAAGACAGTATGAAATGTAGAACAGTTCAGTAATAATACAGAGTGTATATATATATGTGTGTCCGCGTGTGTGAATATATATATATATCCCCAAGACAGGGTTTTGCTGTGTAGCCCTGGCTGTACTGGAACTCGATCTGTAGACCAGGCTGGTGTTGAACTCAGAAATCCACCTGCCCCTGCCTCCCAAGAGCTACGATTAAAGGCGTGTGCTACCATGGTTGGCTTCAGACTATATCTTTAAATGAGACTACATTTAATATATTAGATGACTTTTGTCTTACTTTTAGCATCTACTAGAAAATTTAATACTACATGCATGGCTTCCATTACGTTCCTATTGGACATTGCTACTTGAGAGAAATTTCTGTATGTATATGACAAGGAATATGTTTTATCAGACTTTTTTCAGAACGAAGCACACATAACTTTATCAATGGGGTAGGCGCCACCCCATCTTACAGGAACACTGTTTTATTTACTTGAGACAGTCTTACCTAACTCTGTCTGACCACAAACTTGATATGTATTCAGGGATGACTTTGAACTCTCAATTCTTCTGTCTCTATTTCTCCCAAGTGCTACAAGTGCAGACTTGTGCATATGCCTGGCTCCTACTTTCAAAGGAATCTTTATTTAAAGCCTCATTGATTTGTGTGTGCACACGTCCATATAAAGGTCAGAGGACACCTTAAAGGAACCACATCACGGGAAAGGTGAGTTACACTGCACTGAGCACTCAACAGCGGGAAATCATTTCCCTTGCAGGACCGCTCATTTAAGGACAGTAAAGAAATAAACTCAACAAAGACCGAACGTGTAATTATGGAAAACTGAAACGCTACCTGCTTATGTCAGAAGCCAACTTAGAAGTTAGGTGATGATCAACCTCCACCCAAGGTGGCTTGTTCTAATAAAGGACGTGTTGGTTTACTTTCCCTACGGGATGCTTCTTCCACTCCGTGTAATTTCACAGGGCTTTCAGGTATAGAACTGAAATTTCCCTCATCCAAATACTGAGATGACCATAAAAATATAAGAAAAGCCGAATGAAATGCTATTACTTTGGCAGCCAATCCTTTACCGTAGGAATATGCAATGGACGTGATTTTGTGAGGCATCTGGTGGAATTTTTCTAGGTTAAGCATTTTCGGATCGGGTACTGTTCTTTACCCCGCAAAAAAGCCAGGAGGCGAGGAGGAAACTGCGGGTGACAGCGGCGGGAGTGGAGGTCGGGGTGTCTGGGGTTGAAGCGCTATAATAACCATCGGGGCCTCCTCCATCCGCCTCCGCTCAGCTCGGGCGCACTCGGCCGCAGCGCTCCCCTCCTCCCGGTCCCTCTCATCACTTCTGCACTCCCCCTGGACCCAGTTTGGATAATTCCTAACCCAGAGGTCGCCCACCAGCTCCCTAAATTACCTGACAGCAATCTGACCTCTCAGGACACTCACTATTCAACCTTCCAGACGGAGCCAACCGGAAACGGACGTTGTCGACGGGCGTTCCTCACCGCAGGAAAGCGGAGGAGTCGATAAGCGTTCCGACCCCGGCGCAAGGCTCCCAGACGAGGGAGAAAGACGACGGCGTAAGAAAAACTGGACATCGAGACCGTTTGCCACACTCCGCTGCCAGCATCCGACTGAGCTCGGGGACTCTGAGGAGACGGGTAAAAAAAGCGCGTTTTCCTTGTTCCCGGACGGACTCTTTTAGGCGGCGCACCGGAGGGCGGGCCGATGCGGCGGCGCGGCCAATGGGAGCGGCTGTTATTGAGCGCGCCGGCCCACTCAATGAGAGGGCCGGTTGTTATGCTGCAGTTGGCAGGCTGCTGCGGGAGGCGGTGGCGGTGGGAAGCCCGAGGCTGCTGCGGGGTGACAGGTAGGTGGGGGACCCGCACGGTGCCGGAGGAGGAGGTGTCAAACCCGGCTGCGGTCGCGGGAGCCGGCGGGGGGGGCGGATCCCGAGCCCTGCACACCCGGTAGCCAGCCTGGGAGGGTCGTGAGGAGGAGGCGGCTTGGGGCTCAGTGCGTGTCGTGGGGGCGACTTGGGGGGCCTAGAGAGGGCGACGAGGGTGTGGGTGGGGAAGGAGGCAGGAGCAGGGCGCGGGCGGTGAGGGCTGAAGGGATTTCTTGCAGGAAGCCTCAGGCTAGAGAAGGACGCGGCGTTTGCAGACACCTGAGTGAAATTCTCGGGGTTGTTGTCAGGGTGCGGAGGAGGAAGAGGTTTCTTGGTGGTCGGAGCTAGAAACTAGCGGCTGGTACATTATGTAACCCCTGGCAGTTATTTTTTTTCTCCCCCCCGAACAACTCGACCCAGCGTCATGGAAGAGGAGCTCTTGCAAGCCGTTGATAGACGTGATCACTTTCTTGTTGTCGCTGGCTCCCGTGTTTTCCTACCCAGGCAGGCTCTGGAGGAGGAGGACAGCGTGAAGGCAGAGTAGTCACGAAGCGCTTATCCCAAATAAGGACTTGGCTTGAGACAAGACAAGACACGACGTTTAAGCTCGAGATGGGCGAAATGTTTTGTAGTACACGCATTGGCTGCTTTGCAGCGCAGGAACGGATAGAGTGTTTAACCTCCAGCAAAGTGGAGAGCCTTCTAAATCCAGAGAGGAAGGTAAACTCAGATTAGAAAACGGACAGTAAGTTAGTTGGTCGACAACTTGCCCCCAATATATGGACACTAAGGATGGTGAAAATAAGACGGTACTCTAAACAGGGGAGAGCCACCTTTTGAGTGATTTGCTTCGTTAAGTCTGAGGAACTAGTTGTGAGTTGTAAATTCACGGTCTGAATGGTGGGATACAGTACCCAAACAAACTCCCGTCTCAGCGTATGTTGTGGAAGAGCTTTTGCTTGTATAGCTCATTGGAAAACTCCTCTAAGACTGGGATACAATTTTAAAAGCAGCGCTATAAATTGCTGAAGGGTAGGCTCTTGACATGCTGCCTTCAAGTCAGAAGATGAGGATTAACGTAGTATCGGGAAGTGTCTCTTTCTGGGCTTGTTTTTGAACTATATGTTAGGACAACTTTCTAAGATCTGATTTTTTTTTCCTACTCTTGGTCATTTGTGTTCGTACATATAAAATTAGATTTTTTGTTTTTTCTCTCTCAGAATATCTTCTGAAACGAAATGGTTGATTAGGATTTGTTTTGAAATGTCCAGTGAACTGAGGTATTTGTTAGCGCCTTAAATACAGTTTTAAAATGATGCTGGTGTTTCATTCCTCGTCTTATCTTTTTACAAGAATGATGTTACCTTAGCCCTGAAGAAGACATATTTTTGCCTTAGGTGAAATACTCTCGTGCTTTCCATACCTGTGAACAAATTTTTGTCTTTAGGTGGGTTGATTTAAGAGAGTGTGTGTGTGTCTCTGTTTCTCTTATGTAACCAGCCTCCTCTAGCTATCTAAGAGAACTAATGGCTGATTTCTAGTGGCCAGTAGGTGTCATTGTAGACTGCCGTAAATCGAACAGGCAGTAGGGAATTACCAAATAGTTTAAAAAACACTATCCCAAATTATCATTTACTAGAATCTGGACGGTTATAAATCATAGAGATTTTGTTTTCTGAAATATTTCCATGTCAAAGCCATTGGTAAATAAATTGAAACATTGGTTGTAAGGAAATATTAGTGCTTGCTTCAAAATGGATCTTGAAAAAATTGTTTTTTTTAATCCCCCCCCCCCAGTCTCACTCTGTAGACTAGGCTGGCCTTGAACTCACAGAGATCCATCCACCTCTGCCTTCCAAGTACAGGGGTTAAAGACGTGCGCCACCACAGCCAGGCCCACAAGCTGTCCTAGTGGATAGTATAGGTTTGTTTCATTGTTAGTACACAGCTTTGACATCTTGTAGTGTATGAAGTTCGAGAATAATCTTCAGCCTGACCGAGAGTTATTATAGAAAAGCACTACATAATTAAAAACTAAATAATATGATAAAATATGGGTGGAAGTTTCAACCCAGTTGTATTGTCAACGCAACAAAACAGTATTTTGCTGTTCTTTTAATGCCAGGACAACAGCATTGTTTCCTCTACCTCTTTACCTGGCTAGTAGACCACTTCCTTTTCCCATGACAGGAACGGAATACTTCTCGGTGTCTAAAATGTCAAATCTGTGAAAACGGTTTACACTGACTGTTGATACAGTCCTTTGCTGTGCAGCCATCTGATGAGCCCCCTGTCTAGCTCTGTTCCTATGCTCGCTATGAATACAGTGCTTCCAAAAAGGAGGGAGGCTTAGGGACTGGTGAGCTGGCCAGGCAGGTATAGCCCCTGCCATGCAGGCGTGAGGACTAGAGTTTGGGTCTCCAGGACCCACATAAATGCCACATGGGCATTGGTGGCCAGTTTATAATTCCGGCACTTGGGGGGCAGAGACGGAATCCCCAGTGCAGCTGGCAAGCTGGACTAGTCAGACTGGCATGCTCTGGGCTCAGCTGAGCATGCTGCAGTGCACATGAAGTGGAGCGTGGATGAAGAAGCCGCTGGCGTCACTCTCTGCCTTCACATGCGCTCTCATGCACATATGTGCGCCCACACATCGCATACATGCACACAGCACACACACAGGAGTTGGACCTACTTTGAGAATCCTCTATGAAGATGGCGATATCTCAAAATATCCAGGAGGTTTTTTTAGTTTTTAAAAAAGGGGACACGCATATGTTGTATCTGCGCTTCCCTTTAGAGTCTTAGTGCAGGGAGGGGATGAAGGAAGGAGATGACTGATTTGGTTTATATCTGGCCTTTACTTTAGAGTCTGATCCAATCCAGCTTCTGTCACACAGCGCTGTGAACCAGTAACAGCAGTGTTAACTGTGAGCCAGCTGCCAAATCTGCCAGCATTTTATAGTCAATAAACTGTTTCCATTTCATGTCATAGCTAGGGCAGCTTTTCTAGCCAGAAGTTGAAGTTGCCAAAACAAAGGATGTGCTGAACGTTTTGGGCTGAGTTGGTTTTCACTTGGCACGTCACTGCTTTCCATAATCCAAGCCATTTTCTTTCACAAGTTGGCCCTATACGAATTAGTTTGCACAGATGCCTCCTCACCTTGTTTCCTGATGTGTCAGACAGCTGTACTGTCCTTGAGTTAAGCTAAAATTGAGAAATAACGTGCTGGTGGCAGTGCAGCCTTTAATCCAGGCCCTGGGAGGCGGCAGCAGCAGGTGGATTGAGTTTAGAGGCCAGCCTGGTCTACAGTGCGAGTTCTGGGACAGCCACGGCTGCACAGAGAAACCTAAAAAAAAAGTAAACTTAATTTAAAAAAGAATTGCAAGTTTACTTGATTAAACAGTTTTCAGTGAAACTTTGATGTAATATGTAGATTGATATATGAACAGGTGTTTGCTCAATAATAGGTAGTAAACGTAAAATTACAAATCTTTTGACCTTAACATGGGTTAAGTTTAGAAATTCATGGACTTTAGACCTAATGTTTAGGGGTTTGGCTGTTTGGAGACAAGTATGAAAAGAAGGAGTAAATGGGAAGGAGTATAAATTAGATGTGTAATATATAAAGTGGTATGGTTTAAGTGTTCATAAAATTATAATAATTTTTAGATTTGAGGATTAACTGCCAAACAAAATAACAGTCACAGAATATGGTAAAGGGCGCTGACACTGGCTGGTGAAGATGGGTCACCAAATAGTCATTTTGTTGCAGAGTAACTGTAGCCTTCAAAAAATTTAAATGTTAATTTATCATATATCACATGGCTTTCTTTTTCCTTTTTTTGAGACAAGTATTGCTGTGTGGCTCTGGCTAGTTATGAATTCATAAACGTCTTCCTCTCTCCAAGGTGCTGGGCTCACGGGTGGCACTAACCACCTGGCTGTATTTTTCTCTTTTATCATCTTTTTAATGTACTGAAGCTAGAATCCTGATGGTATCTTTTTCGCTGTTTGCTTTTGCTCTGGGGTATTTTGAGATGGGGATCCACTAGTAATCCAAGTCGGATGATTTGCCTCTGCCTTCTGAATGGTGAGATTGCAAGCGTGCTTCATCCCTGGGAGGTCTTAAACCAGACATGGTAGTGTACACCTGTGATCCCAGAGCTTAACTGTATAGCAAGTCTGAGGTCTCAAACACAAAAGACAAAACAACGGAGATTTTGTTTACATATTTCTTATCTAAGTAGTCCTTGGTTCTTGGAAAAACGATTTGTTATTGTGTATGCACGCATGCTTTTGTGGGAATGCATGTGTGATCAGAGGACAACTTTGAGGTTCTCGTGTTCCCCTGTGGGTTTTGGGGGATCAAACTCAGACTTGCTCGACAAGCACTTTTTACCCTGTGAGCCATCTCATCTCTGAGCTAGATATCCTTGGTTCTAGTGGCTTTTTATTTTTATCATTTACTTAGTTTTGTTTTGAGTCAGGATCTCCTGTCCTGAATACTGGCCTTGAACTCCTGATACTGCCTCAGGAACTGGAATTGCTGCTACGCGCCATCAAACCCAACTACTTTATCTTTTTTGAAAAGTATTTCATTAGCCAGACGGTAGTGGGACACACCTTTCATCCCAGCACTTGGAAGGCAGAGGCAGGAGGATCTCTGTGAGTTCAAACCAGCCTGGTCTACAGAGTAAGTTCCAGGACAGCCAGGGCTACATAGAGAAACCCTGTCTCCTTATCTCAAAAAACAAGCAAACAAAAAGGTGCTTCATTTATTTAGTGTGTATGTGTGTGTTTGCATGTGAGGCTCACATGTGTGGAGCTCAGAGGCCACTTCTTAACATGTGGGTTCTGAGGATTTTTAGTTTGTCAGACTTAGAGGTCAGCAGCACCTTTACCCACTGAGCCATCTCACCCGCCTCATTTGTATTTCGGTTGGCACATAGTTACAGACACTTATGGGGTACTATATGGT